TGGACATGGGAAGTGGCGACACAGTTGTTGTTTTTAATACATATATTTTTAGTTGAATAATCTCAGCTATTTTATGTCAAGAAACGGCAATTATTGCGAAGCAATCATCGGGGTTGATGAGTGACAGTGAACAGGAGGCCTAGTATATGGTAAAATTCCAAAAAGAAAAAAATATTTCTCAAATAAATCGAAATTAATGAAATAAACAAAATCTGGAATTTTTTAATGCATAATATATTTTAATTAAACGAAGTATAACTTTTATATTTTTAATCTCTAATGCCAAGAAATTTAAATTTTGTGCAAAAAATGTTTGATTTTCTAGGGGAAACAGTTCCTGTGACAAATTTCGTATCGCCCCCCCCCTCATTTCTATTTCTATTATCTATTTTGTAAGATGCTAGATAAAAGGATTATCTGAAGAATTAATCATTTTCACTATATAGTAAAAGATTGTATCATATAAGAACAAAAATTTTCAAAAAAAAAAAAACAAAAACTATAGCAATACGAACTTTAATAATGTTGTATTTATCCGTAAATTCACAATATTAAGTCATAGATTCATATTTATGTCATTCACTACTATATCAGATGAAACAATGTAGCTACAACTTAGATGATTTTTAATGAAACACAGTTAAATTGAAAAATTTTTTACGGTTAGGAAAATGATGCCCTGTTTTTTAAGGGACAATAACACAATGTTGAAATAATTATCACACTTTCTTAGAAATTAAACTAAAGGAAGTAAACTAATATTTAAAAAAGTAATAATTTTTTGAAGCAGTAAAATAATTAAAATTTAAGAAGCTTTTGGTAGTACGGATTATGACAATTACTAATGAAGTATAACTNGGATTATGACAATTACTAATGAAGTATAAATGCCTATTTTGGTTCATTTTTTAATCATTAAATAAAATAGAGATTGTAAAAATATTGATTGCAATATTTATATAGCACTCTTCTTGCATCCAAAAAAAAATTAAGCTTTCTTATGAAATTTTTTTTTAAAAAAATATTGAAGCACTCAACGCTATTGTTTAAATTGTATTGCAAAGAGCATTTCGAAAAAAATCAAGATAGCGATTAAAATTTTAAAAACCGCTATTGTTTTTACTACTTTTCTAAACTTATACAATTCACAAAATAAATAGTGAACATTCCGAATAACGTATGATCTAATGATCGGATATTTTTTTCTGGATTCTTAGGACTCAATCTTAATAGTTTATGTCTTAACCTATAAAATTTAATTATCGAAAGATAATTCAGGCTAAAAATTAATATCTGATAAATATTTATTATTTTATTAAGTAATAACCGAAAAAAACTTGATTTCTGAAGTATAAAAAAACCTTACATAATTTTAAAGTATCTAATTTTAAATAATCAATAAATTAATTTAACTCCGCCACATGAATAGCTTCGGCTATTTCGTGCGCCAATCCCAAGCCTGGATAAAGGAGGAGGGTTGTGCGTAGGGCTAGTCCCTCTACCCCGTAAAACATCCCTGACTACAGAATCCAAAAGCATATCGGGCCAAATTCTCTTGGCGGAAGCAATGACTTGTGAAATTCCAAATGACAGTTATCTTACCTGGAATGAGGAAATCACGCCTATGAAGTGTCGAAGGGAAAGCCATTTGGAGCCTTCGATGCGGAAGAAGTCATTGATGAAACCTAAACACAAGTTACGAATTGGTGCTTAGAATGTAAGAACTATGTACCAATGTGGAAAAAGTAGACAGGTATCAATGGAAATGGATAGATATCAATTGGATATCTTGGGAATATCAGAACTTAGATGGACAGGTTTTGGCAAGATTAAAACTGGAAGTGAACAAATCATTTTGTACTCAGGAGCTGAAGAAAAGCACGAAAGAGGCGTGGCGCTAATCATTAATAAAGAAACAGCGAGGAGTCTTTTGGAATGGGAACCAATCAGTGAAAGAATTTTAAGAGCACGATTTTATTCAAAATATATTAAACTATCAATTATTCAAGTGTATGCACCAACGAATGATGCTGATGAGGAGGAAAAGGAGACATTTTATGATCAACTACAATGTGCTTTAAATCGAGTTCCAAAACATGACATGATAATTCTTATGGGAGACCTTAATGCTAAGGTTGGAAAACGGATTAGTGATGATGAAACCTCCATGGGAAACGAATCACCGGGCGAGAGGAACGAAAATGGAGAACTGTTTGTTTCCCTGTGCGAACTAAATAGTTTGAACATAGGTGGGAGTAGATTCAAGCATAGAGAGATACATAAATGTACATGGACCTCACCAGAATCAAATAGATCATATTGCAATTAATAACAAGTTCAGGAGCTCACTAAAAGAGACTTAAGAGCGATGAGAGGTGCCGACGTTGGATCAGATCACTACTTGATTCTTGCAATATTAAAACTAAAATTAAGAAAATCACCAAAGAAGACGGGGCATAAAAGAATAAGCTATGACATTGCTAAGTTAAAAGCCAAAGAGTGCAGACAAGAATTTTCAATCGAGTTGAAAAACAGATTTGAGCTGTTAAAGGAAGAAGAAAATCATGGCAACACTAAGCAATCAGAAAATGAGGTAAAAGAAAAAGTTGAAGACACTTGGGAACATATCAAAAACATTTATTGCGACGTAGCAGAAAAAGTCTTGGGTAAAAAGAAAGGAAAGAAAAGCAAAGAATGGATTACGGGAGAAACATTAATACTAATTGAAAGCAGAAGGAAAAAGAAAATACAGATGGAAACTACAAAGTCTGAAAGATTATTTAATCGGTATAGACAGCAGTATAATCAAATTGATAGAGAAGTAAAAAAGTCAG